TACCAACTAATGTTTGGTACATGATTGCTCACCTACTTAAGCATGGGAACCTTAGTTAAACATTGGCGGCCTTAAATAATTTATAGAATTGCAATTGAATTTTCTACAATTTTTCAACTGAGTTTGCCTTTTTCTACCATTTAGACTTGTCGCTTACCTAGAATAGACTAAAGATTGAACGTTGCATGAACTGGATTCACAGCCAGTTACTGAGCATAAAATGACGGCACTTTGAAGCCATGTCAGAGAGTTATGTGTGCTAGTGAGTCACAAGGTTTTCAAGAAATGCCAGGCCTCGGTAAATTTCAATTTAAAAGGTATGATTTTGTATGAAAAAGACGTGCATTCGCCATTAAAATGTATGAATTTACCTATATTCTTTCATGAAAGCTTATAAAGACCGTAACAGGTATAAAGTGACTAAAATTCCGGTTCCAGTATTGATGCTCTACTAGAATACTTTAGATGAATAGATTAATAATAAATTAAGTAGATTATTTAAAAAAATATTAAAATATTAGTATATGATATTTATTTTTTCTTATTACTTGGATTGTAACTTAAGTAGTATACATTAATTTGTGTTAATAGTTAAGCTTTAAAAAATGATTTCTCTCATAAAGTGAATTTTAATATCTGGTACGTAGATCATTCATATAAAGATTTTAGTTTATATGTTACACAAGAAGGGTAAAATTTCTGATCAAAATAATTGATATAATGGGGGTTTCAAGAATCCTTTGTTAAACTTGCTATTTGTATTTACGTTTTAGTACGACTTTTTTAATTTAATCCCAGTGGAAATATTTGGGTTGTCCCTTAAACTTGCTTAAATATTACACATATTATATATAAATGGGTTTTATTTTTTTGCAAAATTATTAACAAGAATTTTTTTTCCCTTTTTTAATTCAAGTTAAACTTATCTTGGATATGAGAAAGCATGTGATATGACCATTAATCTGATGTTGTTTTCGATTGCTTTCAGATTTATTACAAATTAGACAGGAAGATTAGCTATTGGGATTTAAGCTATCAAGCTAAGCTTGCCAAAATTTTAAGGTGCTTGCACAAAGGTCAACAAAGTGTTCTTAAGAAACAATATAAAAGGAGATCTGTAGGTCTTTGCTTAATCTCATGAGAAAATTTTAGAAATGTAATCGCTATGTGAGGAAATTGAGAATGTTGAGGGACGCGCTTGATTATGTTAGGGATTTTATAGGAATTTATAAACTACTTTGGAGACCTGCCTTTGGATTACATATCTGTTAACGGTGAAATTAAAATAAATCTCTGCTTATCTAAAAATTAAAACCCAGATGCACTCTGTAATAGGTAGTTTATGCTTGCTTATAAGCAGTTGTCGAGACTAACTGTAAAGCATATATATATAATGAGTACAACGTATTCCATTTAAAGTAATGGAGTACTGGTAGTTGATTTTTTAACAATAGTATGCGTAGGCCTAAATACTAGATCGAAATTCACATGGCTTTGTGAGGTTGAAACTGCAATCCAACCTGAGTAAGAATACCTTTTTTGATGAAAGGTTGTACGAAATTGAACAAAAATATGAGACCTACTTAAGCATTATGAGAAGATGCAAGTACCAATCTTTCATAACTCATCAATTCGCGCTATCGTTAGTCTCAAATATCTTATAAATGAAAATAAGTAATTCAATTAATTTATGTGAAGAAAAGTTGGGTTTTCTTGAAAATAGCTTCTGTCTGTGACCCAAGGAAACTTGTTGCATTGTGGCTTAGTGGTTAGCGTCTCAAGATTTTGCGTTGCACTACCCGGATTCGAGAGGTTGTGCGAAACTCCGTGCCTACTCATAGTTGTGTGGGAAAGTTCAACTACCTGCTTATCATCACCTTATAAGATGTAGGGTAAATAAATCTCATTTAAAAGAAAAAAAATCAAAAGAAGTGTTAGGACTTTCTGACAAACCAATATATGTTGCAAAATCTCAATTCTTTAAAATCTTTATAAAGAGTTGAGTTTGATTTTATGTTCACTCTAGGCTGAAATCTTATTGAGCATCATAAAAAAATCATTTAGTTACTCCATATTTCTTCGTACCCCTTCTTCACAAAATGATA